TAGGCAAGTAGTGCTTGATTGTTCTTGAGGTTAGCGGGTCAATGATAGAAAGGATTCTTTTTTTCTCACAATGAATGATTCATTTTTGCAGACATCTGAGAGGACTTTAGATGCCCCAGATATTTTGGATGATTACTACTTGAATCTACTAGATTGGGGAAGCATCAATGTTCTCTCTATTGCTCTTGGCAGTACTGTTTACCTGTGGGATGCTTCTGAGGGCAGCACTTCTGAATTGGTCACAGTTGATGATGAATTTGGTCCGGTTACGAGTGTTATATGGGCTCCCGACAGTAGGCATGTTGCCATTGGCTTGAATAATTCTGATGTCCAGCGTTGGGATTCCACGGCTAACAAATTGGTATGCTTATTCTCAAGCTCTTTTGTATTCAGGCTTGGTTTCTTTTCTTTCGATGATTGAATGAATACTGAGTTTTTGTTTGCTGGGCAGTTACGAACTTTGAGAGGTGGCCACCAATCACGAGTAGGAGCCCTCGATTGGAACAATCATATACTGAACTGAGTATTATTCTCAATTATCGAATATGATTTCAGGAATTAGCTAGTTTTGAGGACTAATTTGGTAAAACACATAGTTATTGAGTATCATTTTGGGAATTTACTCTTACATAATAAAGCCATGACCCTAATAGATTGCTTCCCTTATTCGTCGAGCATCAATCGATCTTTTTCGATTGCTTTGCACCTCTACTCTTCTATCCACTATATTCTCTGCCACGTAAGTTTTATGGAGTACTTTCTTATTGTTGATTTTTGAATTATTTGTTGAGCATCATCGTGTGCCTTATCATTTCTCCTATTCTTGTTGATTTTATAGTATTTTGAATGTTTTACAAAGTATTGAGTTTATCCCCTTATTTGATCAGCATCCAGGCCACATAATTTTTTTTGATCCATTTGTGTTTACCAATGTATATTTGTTAAATGTTTGCAATTTATTCTAACTTGTCATTAATTCAAGGTTTTTATATGTATTGTTATTTATTTGCCATTCAAACTTGAAAATTGCATGTATAAAAATTTTTAGTCTTGTTTTTTTATTTAAGTAGATTGCTTAAATTGTTATATCCACACTTTTGAACTTTAAATTTGAGGATTACGCAATACGCCTTGACATAAAAATGCCTCGATACCGCAATACACAATGCTTCTTATAGTCTTAAATCTGCTTATGACCGAGGATTTCTTGCACTGGTAGCTTTGCAGAAATGGTATGTGCCAGGCCACCATTTCCTTGCCCAAATTGATCACCATAATCTCAAGTATCTATTGGACCAGTTGTGATAACACGTCAACAACTTCTCATGAAGTTATTACCCATTTACCCTTTTGTTATACCCGAGCCTAGCCCCATGAAACTCTCACTCACGCCTTACACTATCATAAGAACCAAAGGACTTATATTCAAATATTATGATCCATTTTAGTTGAATTCAAATGGTCCTTAAACCCGAAAGGCCAAAACAACCTCCGTTTGACCCGAAGGTTCTGTGGTTTACTCCCATTTCAGTCCAAACCATCCCAAAACATCCAAAACACTTTATACTTCCCTTTTTATACAAATAAAGTCTTCCCCCACTCATTTCAAAGCCCTTGGCCAAAAATGAGAGAAAATAAAAGCCATAACCTTTGTTTGTTTCTTTTAAAGTCCTTTTACCCAAATAATGTCTTTCCTCTTTATTTCCTACAACTAGGGACGAAAATCCCTTCCATTTTATCCATAAATCAGGCCCCTTTTCAACTATTAACAAATAGAAATCACCTTTCTCACAATTAGGATAGAAGTCATAAAGTTGAATAGTGAAAATTTGTCCTTTTGTTGACTTATTTCACATCCTTGCACCCATGATCTTTCCTTGTCATTTCTTACCATATAGGGCCAAAATTCCTTACACAAAAATCGGGGAATATCTCCTCTTAAACCCCACAATTCCCCACCTTTGACCATTTGACTAAAGGCCGAACAACACCCCAGAATAAGCTAAAGGAAACCTTCTTCCTAAGTCATGAATTCACTCCACTAAAAGAAGATAATAACTAAGACATTGTTCCTGATTTTTGAGAGTGAAATATAGGAAGCTTCATTGTGTATTTCCCTTCCCTTTGCTATGTATATATACGGCCCTATGGCCTTTGTAATCACCATCTTATGTTTGAATAAAAAAAAAACCTTTGTTTACTCTTTGAGTAGCAATTTAAAATAGTGTGATACTATTTTAGCCCAAATTCCTAATTCTATATCTTAAGAGTGGTTCTCTTACGTGTGAGTTTTAGGTTCTAGTTATTTAATTGAGTGTGTAATATCTTGATTAAATACTAGAGTTTAACCCCAAGTTAATCTAGAGGTGAGTTTACCCTTTAGTATTAATTTGGCTCCAAATTAAGATAAGAGTGTGTTTATCTCTTATTCCTAATTTGGAATTTATCCCATCATTTCTAAATCCACCTTTCTCTCCTGATTTTCCACTCTTCTTCATAATACTAAAAACCCAAAAAGAACTCCTGCCACATCTCCATAATTTCGTCCAACCCATTTCCCTTCAATATTCCACAATTCCATCTCTAAAAAAAAGCAACTTGATCATACCCCGGGTCTCGGGTATAACACCTTTGATTTCACGATCATCTACAAAAAGGTGAAAAGATGACCTTGGGGCTTATGCTTTAACCCGGAGACAACAACGTGCTGAATTTTCTTGCCCTTCCTATTTTAGTTAATATGGATTTCATAAACCTCCAAGAAGCATATCCTCAAGATCCACACCAAAATCATCAATGCACTCAATATATCCTAAGGAACAGATTGGACATATTCCTTGTCAAATGTTGCATAATGAACTATTCTAAGGGATGAGATCCATAATTTCTTCGGCCACTTGATTTCTACCGCCATTCTACAGTTTTCCTATTGTATGCCTTTTTCTTCCTCCGTCCATTCTACAGTTTTCCTATTGTATGCCTTTTGCTTTGCTGCTGCTAAGGCACAAAAGTCTACATCGGCAGATTTGTAGATCTGCACAATCGACAGCAGGGCTGTGACATCGGCGATGACCATGAGGCTGCGACATCGGCGAGGCAAAAAAGCAGCAGCAAGGAAGGTGACGATCACAGGGCTGCGACATCAGCGGATTTAATTTATAGATCTGCACAATCAACGACAGCAATGTCGGAGGATGAGTAGATCAGAGCAATTGATGGCGGCGGAGGATGAGCAGATCTACTCAATCAAGACGGTGGATGAACATGCGACTGGCAACGGATGAACAAGCAACAGGCAATGATGCTTGATAACCCTAAAGAAAAGAAGATGAATTAAAGAAGATGGATGAGATGGTTGGTGGAAGAAGGCAAATTAGAACAGGGGGATGGTGGAATTGATCAATGAATCGGGGGGGTGGTGTGGGGGTTTCGGCAGAAGAAAGGTAACTTAATCATTTTACACAAAAAGTTACCATAAGGAAATGGGAAGATAATTTATACAACTTCTAGAAATAACTACCTATAACTTCCAGAAATAACTACCCAAAACTGTCCCTTTTATTTTTAAAATTTAAATCTAAACTAACTTAACTTATGGCCAGGAATTAAACAATACGATTAAATCTAACACTGAGAAAGTCATCATTGGAGGCGACTTCAATGGCCATATTGGAGACTCGGCCGAGGGCTTCGAGGACGTGCACGGTGGTTTTGGCTTTGGCAGCAGGAACCGAGTAGGAGTTTCACTCTTGGAGTTTGCCAGAGCGAGTGATATGGTGGTTGCTAACTCTTGTTTCCCTAAACGAGATGAACATTTGGCTACATTTGTTTGTGGAGTGGGGACGACACAGATCGACTATCTTCTCCTGCGCAGGTGTGATCGGGTGCTCTGCAAGGATTGCTAAAGTAATTCCGAGTGAAAACATCACTACCCAACACAAGCTTCTGGTGATGGGTGTCATGATCAGGTGGGTGAAACGTAGGAGAGCTTCGAGTGGCAACACACAAATCAGGTGGAGGAGACTAAGTGGGGAGAATATCTCTGAGTTGATCAGGCGAGTGCAGGAGAAAGGTGCGTGGAAATTGGCCGGAGAGGCTACTGATATGTGGGCGTGGACTGCTAACTGCATCAGGGAAAGGGAAAGAGCCAGGGAAGTGTTAGGTGTGAGCTCTGGCTCTGGGAGTAGGCATCAGGGTGATTGGTGGTGGAGCGATTCAGTCTGAAGTAAGGTGGAAGCCAAGAAGGTGGCATATTTGAGGTACATGGGCTGCAATGTGGAGGAGGAAAGAGCGGCGTTACGAGTGGAGTACAAGAAGGCACGTAAAGAAGCTAAGTTAGAGGTTACGAGGGCAAAGAATGTCGCTTTTGAATGCCTCTACAAGGATATTGAGAAAGGCGGTGTTAACCCACTGTTCCGGCTTGCTAAGGTGCGTGAGAGGAAGGCCCGAGATCTGGACCACGTGAGATGCGTGAAGGGCAACGATGGTAGAGTGTTAGTTGAGACTGCCAAGGTGGCTAAGCGCTGGGGGGAGTACTTTTGTGAACTCCTAAATGCGGGAGGAGACCAGAGGCTAGTTCTTGATGAGCTGGGGCAGTCCGGGGCGTCTCGTCTTTTGCGTGCATCTTTAAGCCTTGTCTTTTGCGTGCGTCTTTAAGCCTCATCTTTTGCGTGCGTCTACCCTCTATTTTGAAATAAAACTTGCTTCCCCTCTCCTCTTTCAAAAAATTCTCTCTTTGTTTTGTAAATTACTTTTGAAGTTTTTATTTGGAGGTAATAAAATTATTACTATTTTTATTCTTTTGCATGTTATGATTATGATTTATGGGTATTTATTTTTTAAATTATGTACAAATTGATCCTATTAAACATTAGCTACTAGGATCCTACAATTCAAGTTACGATCTTCTAATCATCCACCGATCTTAGCTAAGATCTCGAGTTTAACAACCTTGCTTGAGGTATTCCGGAAACTCTGCAGTATATCATCACTTTGCAGTGTATAGCAGATGTAATTAGGGTTACTAAATGGGCTCAGTGTTGTTGGGTTTGTTCTTAGGTTAGAGTAGTAAGTATTATAAATACCGTGTTTATGTTTAATGAAACATTCAAGTTCAGTTTCTCACAAAATTCTACATGGTATCGGAGCCAAATCCTGGTCAACTAAAACCCTAGTTTTGCTTTGATTCTTTCACAGCTGCCGCTGCCTGTGGTTTGTCTGGTGATGGCGCGTAGCCGTAGTTTCCCTCTCCATCTTTCAGTCGCTCCAGTTGTTCAAGCGTTCTGATTTTTCCAGCAGCACGCGACATCTGTAGAGCTGCATCAAAATGCCGCCAAAGTTCTAATCATTGTCCCGTTCTTAGGTTTGGTGTCACTGCCACAATTGACGTAGTCGTATATGTTCAGGCGGTGCTTGCTATTTATTCAGCCAATTCGGTGCATTATGTGCTCTGCCAAGTCGCCGCCAATTGCCATAAACCAATGAAATCAGATTCCTGTGTAGCTGCTCTCCAGATCCCTGTCTGGTTCCCTTTGCCGGCTCATTCCTTTTTTCTTTTGCGGTCATTGAACCGTCAAAGCTGACCCCTGTCCTTTGACTAGACGTCCGTGTGTGTCTCGAGTTGCTACTCCATGTGGCTATTTGTTCCCTTGTTCCCGTTGCTGTTCGGGTTCTGTCTAGCCTGCTATCGTTCTACCCCTTGTTATTTCGGGAATTGTCAGGTCTGTCCATGATTTAGACTGCATCCCTTGGATTCACATATCACAAACTTTTGCTGGCATTTAGGTACTACGGAATTCATTGCTTTGTGTATTACTAGTCATGGTCTTGAGGTTTATTGGGCTGCATTTATTTGACAGGCTGTCGGTATGCCAAGTCACTATTCATCCACTCGCAAATCTTGATTTGGTTTTGCTTTATTTGGACTTCCGCGGGAGAAGGTTTTCATGTTCAGTCTGCTGTCCATCCACATTTTTGAAGTTTTTGATGACATAGTATTTGGTTGTTTGACTTGTTTCTGTTTGTTCGGTCGCAACCAACTGTATGTTCGGCATTTTAGTTTGTGAGTTTAGTCGCACTCTGGCGGACAGTATAATAAGTGTCGGCGGACACTTGTTAGTCGTCCTCTTGTCACCCGTGTGCGAGTCATTCGTCAACAATTTTTTTGTTGTTTGTTTGCTTGGCCTGTCACGTTCAACCGTTTTTGCCGCAACAAATATAGTTTAGTCTGAACTATTTATCAAAGTTTGTGTTGTTTTCTAGTCTATTTTTATTGCCCAAGTTGTGCATTCGTGCTACACTAATGTGAGTCACGTTTCAATTTTAAAGGTAGTGTTAATAGATGTAATTAGGGTTACTTAATGGGCTCAATGTTGTCAGGCTTGTTATTAGGTTAGTGGAGTAGCTATTATAAATATCGCGTTTATGTGTAATGAAACATTCAAGTGCAGTTTCTCATTAAATTCTACACAGTGCTCAGTCTTAGTCTCTATGAGAACTGCAGTTTGCTATCGTTAGACTGCGATAGACAGATATATTGACAATGGTAAGAATGGTTTCTTGTGGCATACGCAGGGGCAAGATCTACGTATACACACCCTCCACAAACACCTGGCTGTTGGATTTTACTGGGTTTGCCGTTGTTGTAGCAAGCTAGCAACAAAAAACATACGCCACAGTTCCAACTTGATAGATCATTGTTGCCCAGAACATCCCTTGAAGTTATTTTTCCAAAATTTCATTATCATTTAGCATAGTAAAGGATTCTTGTAGTACTCCACAACTCTTAGGGGCTAGGAATCATATTGTATTATCAAGTATTTTAGTATGATATCTTATCAAAACAAATTCAAGTATGCTATCAATTTGTATTAGTATGCTCTCTTATCGAAACAAGTTCAATTATGCTATGAATTTTGGTTACTTTTTGAAGTCTTCTGGCCTTCTGTTATTGTAGCTAGTTGGTGAATTCGATGAGCAGTGGACAAATGGAAAATTTGAAGGATGGGGGAATGATTATCAGGAAAATGGTAGTGCTCCAATGGATCATACTGTGATTGATCTTGACTATTATAATACGGTTGAAGAATTGAAGGAAGTTGGCCCTGATAGGCTAAAGGAGGCATGCTTTTTTTTTCTCATATATGTATTCCATCTTGATACTTGTTCAAGCACCATATATTCACCTCTTATTTTGTGGCAGGCACTAGCTGCTCTAGGATTGAAGTCAGGAGGTACCATCCAGCAGCGTGCCGAAAGACTTTTTCTTACTAAGGTTAGTCTGCTAGAAATTGCGGCTCTTAATATAATTATATTGATGTGGGATTCTGTTATTTTCACAAGTATAGGTTTATATCCATTCCTCTCTTTTGTTTTGATGAGTCGGTAAGTTTATTACATGCATTCACCTCAGAGAGTTCTGCTTGCAGCATACACCTCTTGAAAAGTTGGACAAGAACCATTTTGCAAAAGGCACTCAAGGTTCAAGGCAGAATGGTGGTATTGCTCTTTCACATGTGAACAGAGATGCAAAAGATGTTGCGTTTATGGAAGCAAAATTAAGAAAGCTGTGTGATCTAATGGAGGAGGTATGTTTGTCATAAATGTTTATCTTGCAGGACAAACTGCTGTTTTAGGACTGCTATGTGGCACTTTTATAGTGTTATACTTCTAAAAGCATTAACCCAATGAACTGGCATTACTTGCCCTGCAGACAATAGTTCTTACCAAGGAAAATGTTGAGAAGAAACAGGCTCAGACTTATGGGGAAAGGGAGGCAGAACGGGAAGAGGTAACTCCTAGATTACCCTGCTGTTAGAAAAAATACCAACAATGTATTCATAAAGCACCTCACCCCAGTAAAAACACAGCGGAGAGGTTGTTTCTGTTGGAACCATGACACATTGATGCAATTTACTTCCCAAAACTTCATAGAAATTAAGAAGCAGGGGACATTGAATGAACACTTTTGATCAGTCCATTTTTACCTGAAGCTAAAACTTTGTGAAAATGACTTTTAGCTCCGCTGGCAATAGACTTATAGATTGCCCTGCTGTTGGAAAATTATAATTGGAATCGTGCAGGAGTACAAACTATGGATTTCAAAACGGCTACTGTCTCTATCCAAAGGAGTCATGTTTCACCAAAGTACAATTTTCAATTTAAGAAAGATACAATTTGAAATTATCAATTCTAATAGTATCTGTCTTACTAAATTTAAAATACTTAATCTTGTTTGGGACACTCTTTTCAGGAAAACATACATTAAATATTAGATTCTTTTTTTCAAATAAGACTTGTTGAGACAAAAGTATGTTTTCTATTTTTATTTTTCTTTTGGACGGAGGGAGCATATGATTAGTGATTACACATCATTTTTAATCTATTGTTGTCATTCATTTTATTTTGCAATATGAAGTAGGATGGTTTATAGCTTGCTTGATCAGTGCTATGCTCTGCATAGCATAGATCATGCACTTAAAATGGCATTTCATTGAGAAACATGCACAAGTAATTTGTTTACTCTTTTTTTTCAAGTGCATCATCAATTTGTTGTCGATTTCTGTTAGGAAGAAGAACAAGCAGAGTTAGAGAGTGATGATGAAGATCAGCAGATTTATAACCCCTTGAAGTTGCTGATGGGATGGGACGGGAAACCTATCCCTTACTGGTTATATAAACTTCATGGGCTTGGTCAGGTAACATCATAAATTCCTAAATTTTCACTTTCTATCTTATAGTCAGCATGTTCGATAATCTCCGGTGGAGCCAAAGATTCACTAATTTTTTGGCGTTGGGGCATGATGGAGTAATGTAAAATGGCTTTTAAACTATTTGTATTTCTTTTAATAGTGAAATAGCTGTTAGTCAATGCAACTTTCGATGCTCATCATAGTTCATCTGGAAACTGCCGCTCTATGTTCTAAACATTGGGGTCATGTTGCGTACATCCGACCCCCCCCCCCCNATTTTTTGGCGTTGGGGCATGATGGAGTAATGTAAAATGGCTTTTAAACTATTTGTATTTCTTTTAATAGTGAAATAGCTGTTAGTCAATGCAACTTTCGATGCTCATCATTGTTCATCTGGAAACCGCCGCTCTATGTTTTAAACATTGGGGTCATGTTACGTACATCCGACCCCCCCCCCCCACCCCGCAATTGGCGGGAACCTTTGAGGCATTGGGGTAATGTTGTTGGTATCTTAAATTCAGCATGGTTGCTTCTCATTTCAATTACCAGGGTTACCTCAAAAGCTCGGATAGTATTAACTATTGGATGATAACACATTAGGGCAGGACTATCTTTGAATGCCGAATAAAATAACCTAGGCCGGTCCGGTCTGGTGTTTAAAGCTACGGTATAAATTATGTCTCACATATATTTTTCCTATTAATAATTATAAATTAAACTAAATTTTTTGTTGAAAATTAAACAAAATTTTTTGTTGTTATTTTTTCTATTAAAAAAAGTAAAAGCATGAAACTTGTACAAAAAATAACTTTTTTTCTCTTTTTGAAAACGTGTCATACGAAGCAAATTATATTAAAAAAATAATTTTTTTTCTCACATATTTTTAACCCAAACTAATCAAATTGAATAAATTATGTTTTATAAATGTTTTTGTTATTAAAAAACGCTGTTTTGGGTGCGTGTTCCGCCTACGGATATGGAATGACCAGACCTTGCCGCTCCACACAGTCCTAAAAATTTAACTCCTAAAAATCTTTTCATTTTAACTCTTTTTAAGTAGAGGTTAATTTTCTACTAACTTTGACAAAAATATGTGAAAAGTAAATTTTCTTTGTCCCAAATTATATTAAAATTTAACATTTACGAGGTAAATCTTGTAGTTAAAAAAATTAGTTTATTTAAATATTAGTTTAAGAATAACTAATAATACTTGCATTGAAAAAATTAACATTACTTAATATAAAAAAAATTATGTTGAAAGTTTTACAAAACAAAAGGTGGCAAAAAATTTTTATTTTATCAAATAATTAATGTATATACACAAACAAATAAAAGTTATCGAGAGATAGACTCCAAAAAGTTATAATTAATTTTGAGACAGATGGAGTACATTTAGTGAATAAGGGTTGAAAATATTTTTATTCCTTGTAAAATGAGCGGTTTTGGGTCCGTGTGAAATGAGCGATTTTTGTTATAGTCCCTCTTAAATATTTTTAATCGAATCATACCAATAAAATATTTATTTTTACAAATGATCCTCTCACCAAGGCAGAGTTAATTTGTTAATACGAAGTATTTACAAAGAACAAAAACAAAAGCGCTTTGCATTTATAACATTTTAAAGGGACAAGAAACAAAATCAATATTAACTCTAAAGTTATAATAAATTGTGAAAGGACAATTTACAAAATAAATAATTCTACCGTGATGACTTATGCCTTATTCTTTTGGGTTGAAAAAATTAACTTCTAAAATTTTCAATTCCTTCCAGTTTCTTCCAACACCTTCCAATTTTTTGCAACTTCTTCCTGATTCTTCCAACAACTATTTGAAAAAGGTATTTATATATAATGAATATAGAATATATCTCCAAATTTATAACATACCGCATCAAACACAGATAAAGATGGAATCTTTTTTATCTAAAATTTTAACTTTCATACATATTTATTTGGATGATCATTGAATTGAGTGACTTATTAACATTTTAATTATTCCAACATTTTCTAACTACTAGATTTTTTCAACTCATTTCAATTTTTTTAACATATTACTCTGAAATTCCAACCCAAAAGAATACTCCGTATGACCTTAATTAAAAATATTTTAAATGGACTAAAACCAAAAGTTTATTTACTCCGGAGTACTTTACAGAGATAAAAAATATTTAACCCTAGTCAAAATGTAAATTTAATGATTAAAGTGAGTAGAAAGTTGATTTAAAAAATCAAACGTGGAAAGGTTTCATATAATCAAACACATGTACCGAGTAGTATTTAATTATTTATCACACATACTTCTTACAAAAATATTTTTTCTCCGTTCTAGAATTATTTTTGAGAAAAAGATTAAACTAAGAGTAAAACTTATAACGTATCTCCAAAATAAGAGTTGAAACTTAAACTTACTTAAATAAGAGTAATGAACTTAATTATTCTCTCACACACATGTATATGCATTGAGTTCACTTTCTCAATACACACTAGCTGAGCCGTAACCAACCTTGACGTGTACGCTCGCCAAAGGCAAACCTTCTGCACTACGCTTCACGGTGACAGGATGATTGCCTTTTTCTTTTAAGTAAATCCATGGGCTACTGAGTATTCGTGCAGAGCTTATAGAAGTTCAGCAAAATTACTAAACATCTTATCCACACTTGTAATGATGTTCTCCTACTTCATAGCACCCCTTCGGTATAAAAATGCTTGATGTACACTGCCACGACTGACCCACCATCACTGCCACCATGAACTGTGTAACGCTCCAAAACACACTCTAAAAGTAGTATTGAATTATTATTCAATTAAACAAATTTGTTTTTGTTTAAAATAAATTATTGTTAAGCCTTGGGCAAAATCTAGAGATATTTGATATCCCATATCATGACTCTGAATAAATGTCGTACAGATAAGTCTAATATGCAGATTGAATGTGTGGTCTTGATTAGCGACTAGAATACAGACCGAAACTAAGATTTGTTTGATTGATGTGAACTCATGAATGATTTATTGAAATAAATTATTACACTGAGTAATAAGAATTGAATATGAGAATCTTTTGAATAAAAGATTAATTAAATCAATTTTAACTCTGTCAAAGTCAAACACTCAAAAAAATGATGTTGGAAGAAGTATTTCAAATAAAAATAAAAATTATATAGTTGTGTAGATTTTGACTATTTAATCGCAATGGTACAATCAAATTTTAAATTAGAGAAAGTTAGACAAAAAAGAGTACCCCGATTGGGAAGAGTCGTGAGAATCAGACCGAATAGCAATCCCTCACACTGAGCCAAACGCAGAACAGAAGACAACAACAATCTTGGCTTCATCCTCCACCATCTCTTTAAATAAGGACACTCAGTCCTTCTGATTTCTTCACTAATTTCTTTCATTCTTCTTCCTTTTTGTTCCTTGGTGTGGAGAATGATGTGGTGCTGTCCAAAGAGCTTGAAGTCACCGGAGATAGCCGTGGTGTTCGTTAGAAGTTTCACAAGAAATTTTCCAAACCCTTCATTTAAGCTTGAAGTAAGCCCTTAAATATATCAGTGATTAGAATGTTCATAAAGATCGTTTCCACATTCTTAACGGTCATTTGGTTGAGTTTTGTGTTTGATATAGTTGATAAACGTAAAACCACGAATAAAAAACCTTTAAATTTTTGTTAAAACTTTGAATTAATGGTACCAAAATGATATATGAACTTTGGAGAACATTTCTATTTAGTTTAGTTGAAGTTTGATGGCCTAAAATGAAGTTTTCGAAAATTGGTCCGAGGTTGAAGATGACACTGTTCAAAACTTCCACAGACATGGTATCAAGCTACCACCCATACGGTACCAAGGTACCGCCTGAACGATAGGCCCTACCGTTAGGACAGAGGACGGATATCGTCTGAAGCCAAATTCTGTGGCGGTACCGTTTGACCTAGAGATTTTTCCCACAAACCTGATTTTTGAGATGTAAAATCCTATTTTTGATACCATTCAATTATAAATAAATATTAATATCATTAACAAACTAAACATGATGTTTTGAGGGATTTAAGAACCTTATTTGATGCATGATGGTAAGCTAGGGAGTTAACACCCGACGCTAGGCCGCTAATTGTCATTAATGTATTTTGTATCGATGATTATTGAATATTGTAATGATAATCATGATTATACCATAACAAAATGATGTTGATGATGACTTTACCTTGAATTAATATTGATACATTATTAACATGAATAAAATAGACTACATGATAAATGTAACAGGGATTAAGATGGTTCAAAATATAACCATATGTTTGTATGACTAAAACGTGGATAATTAGGGGTGGGCGCGGTTCGTAACGGTCCGTGATAGTACCGGAACCTATCACGGATCGCTCTTATTTAAACGGTTCGGTATCGATATGGGATGAATCTTAAAACCATTCGGTACCATTCCATTTTAAAACAGAACTGTACACTACCATACCCATGCTCAAACCGTGCCAAAAATATTAAACATGCATTATTCAAAGAATATTAAAAAAGAAAACCCCTAAATAGGAGTAAAACTTGGATCATATCCCCAAAGTAGAAGCTAAAACTTAAACTCTCCTAAATAGGAGTGATTAATTAAATATGTTTTCGGATTAATTCTGGCCGCACAAACCAAGTTAGGAAGAAATCATACTTCAATCGATCTTGAAGAGCACCGAGAGCAACATAGAAAGGGGATTCGGAGATTGATGTATCACCATCAACGTGTAGAAAATAATAACAATAACAAATATTTTTCCTTGACATATGTGTCCAAAAACATTACGGAGTATAACAGTAATTAAACACAAATTAGCTACCATAAATTTGGAGGAAAATGGCAGAAAAAACACAAAAATCCTCCGGTGGTGATGGGTAGCTCCATCTATCGGCACCGTGCAAAAGGTCAAAAAAACCATTATACATTAAACGATGTCAAGGGGAGACGTTTTGTGTTAAAAAATGTAATATATCACACTGTAAGGTTGGACTCCCAATAATCATTAAACAAAACTAATGGCAAATAGTAGAGTTACTTGACATTTATCCCTTTTTGACATTATGCATTAACATGTGTGATATATAACATTATAGATTGACTTATCTTTTATTGTACATTATCAAGAATGACATTATACAATGTCAAGGTTGACATTATCTATTTAATTTGTTTCGCATTATGCATTCATATGTATGACTTTATACATTGACATAATTGTCATTATATGATTACATGTGACATTTAATGTGGTCTTTTTTGACACTGTATGGACATCTTAATGTAGTAATTTACTACGTTTCTATATATAATATGTAGGATATTGATTCATTTTTGTTGATGAAGTTTTGGGTGTGTTTTGTTATTGAATTAGTTTTGTTTACATTCAAATTTGTTATTTTTTTGTCGATTCAGCTTTGTTAATGATTGAATAACAATTTACTGTAAAGTAAGATGACCGAACAAGAATTCTTGCCAATAACATGCAGTGTGGAAAGTTTTTCTTTAATAATCATACGATTGATTTGGGCGGCAGTTTATGGAACTACTTGTTAAAGCAAGGGCAATGTCCACATGGTCATTATGTTACAACATTATGTTCCCATGGAAGAGTTAAAGAGGCACTAGAGTTTTCTAAGAAAATGATGAGGTGTTAAAATAAATTAAATTACATTTTTGACATTGCTGAATTTTTTCTAATTTCTAGAGTTGCAGACTTAGAGGCTTGGAGTGTATGAGTGTGTAAAAAGGTATTAAAATTTATCATTTTAAAAAAATAATTAAATAAAGAGGAAATTGCTTGAACAAGGGGCAGTGGAGATCCTAATTGGAAACAAGAGATTTGAAAATTCATGCATGGGGTGACTTTTAATTTATTGAGATTGAAATGTGTACGAATAAGGAGCTTCTAATGGGATTTAGTTTTTGGAGTTCAAAAATTAGAGTCATTGTTAAACTAATTACTCCTATTTAGAAGAGTTTAAGTTTTAACTCCTATTTTAGGATATGACATCTCTTTTACTCCTATTTTGGTCCATCTCTCATATTAAAATAAAAGTATAATTGTGTATAAAAGTGCACAAATTTATTTTAAAAAATGCATTGATTTCAAATCGGCATGGAAACTTGAGAACAATTAAAAAGCTCATTGTCAATCCATAGGTCACTTATATTCATACTAAAGCCAAAAAACATAAGTTACTACCAATCACAATAAATTTCATAGGCACACTTATTCAGTGCCAAAAAAACTCACACACATTCATAGTTAATAATTTAGCTTTAGCACAACAAAACCTTAAAAAAATGCTAAAGCGTAAAGTATAGTCGCCCTATTTTTATTTTTAAGGCTAATTTGTAATTTGGGAGTAAATTCATTTTTACTTAGTAGTGCATATGAATAAGCCTAAAATGGCAACATGGGCAATTTAGGGGTTTTGGGCACTAAGGCCTTTAGCCTAGAAAATAAATTAACTAATAAAATTACTTAAATTTTAAATTAGTGATATTAAATGCCTAATATCTTTAATAGCCCAATATAATTTTTACAAAATATATGGAATTTTAAACGGTCCGGGATTACCGGTATTTAATTTTTGTATCACGGTCCCATCCCGTTTGAGAGCGGTTCGTGATGAAAAAATCAAATCCCATTTCAAAATAGACGAAACGGTACGGTACCATTACGGTATAGTTCGGTACCATGCTAATTCGGTTTTTTTGCCCATCCCTATGGATGATTGGGGTTATTGAATATTACTATGATGATGATTATGTTCTAAACAAATTAATGATGATGATATTAATTGATTATTAAGGCTATCTAGAAGAAATTTAAGATAGACCCATATGGCCAATCTAGTTAGGTCTTGCGGGTATGATGTCTAGTGGCTCGGGTTAAAACATACGTACGGGATTCATAAATCAAACTTGAGTATATATTCGTTTGGGGATACCACCCAACACGACAGTGAGAAGTCCGCTATTTGGTTTTCTGCCTTAAACTAGTTATAATTGATAATTAATGAATATTGATAATTGAAATATATTAACCTATGACAAATTAAGAATCTTTGTTGTTGATCTGAAAGTAATATGTTGATTATGATATCAAATAAATGAATAAAATTATTGTGTCCTGATGAAATGATAACGAATGGTTGAGCAAATAATAACTGTGTGACGATGAAGGATTGAAATGTCCTCTTACTTGCATGATACCATTCGATTTGATTATAAATTCAGATTCAATTTATGTGGATGTTTGATTCATTAAATATCCTTACTTAACTTCACCGTTGAGCGTGTAGTATGTTTTATTTATTACACGCAGGTATGATTTATGTTAAAGATGGAATGTTCCCTGAGAAGCAGCAACACAGATGAGATGTACAGATGTGGGCTCAAACTATTGATCAAATAAATAGAAGTTTGAACGAATGAATTTTGGTATTGATCAAATAATGATATTTGTTTACATAAGCTTCCGCATTATTATGAAATCTCCGATAATGATTGATAATGTATTGAAACATATTTTTGATCATGTTATTTATATACTCCCTCCGTCCCCCATAGATCTTCCCATTAGCCCTTTTTATTTGTCCCACATAGATCTTCTCATTACCTTTTTTAATAATTAAAATACCACAACTACCCCCACTTACTTTATTTATTACACCTTTTTCACTTTATTTAATACACCCCACCCATTTTCATTAAGGATATTTTGGTAAACTTTCACCTTTTTTCAACTCTCCTAAAAAACCGTGAAAAGTCAAATTGAGAACATCTTACATGGACGGAGGGAGTAGTTTTTAAATTGTTGTTTCTAAAATACCATTTGTGGATACTGATTTAGTCGCAAACCGACGTGTTAATCTATTGTACTCGGGTTATGCGAGTTGGGGTGTTACAAACTGCCTCCCCCTGCCTTCCGCCACCGTAAACCGCCATCATGCAATCTATTGTTGTTAGTGGTTTCCCACATCACAAACCAATCTCAGTTGCGGCCGACATACCAGCATTTTCCCACGTCCTATCGTCGTTCCTCGCACCGTGTGACCGAGTGTTGTTAATGATTTCCCACATCTCCAAGCTCACCTCCTTCATCTCCAACAGCACCAAAATCTGCCGTTGTCGCCTTAGTATTATAGTCTTACAATGACTGTTAAGGAAAAATACTCTTTATACAACGCAATAATACCACAATGCTAAACATAGTCTCTAATAATTACAAATATGCCACTGTATAATGTGAAAGAGAAAAACATAACCCCAAATATAGTACTGATTAAGAACAAGTATGTCATTGTATCATTCATAGCTAATTCAATCATCATGCTCAATGATGGTAGTGCCTCAGCCCTTGAGTCCCTCTCAAACCTCACTAACAGTGACGAGTGAGTAAAGTTCTTCCTTAACATCTTCATTATCATTCCTTTTTCTCGCAATGCAAACACAAACTCTCCTCGGCACACTTCAGGTCCCCTTGCTCCAAATGAATTTGTTGAGCTTCACATCGACTCGGTCTTTCCGGCATTGTAGAGCACTACGCCGGACCTTCCAGCTGGATATGTATCTTTCTTGACGCTGTAAGAAAAAAGAAAAAGAAAACTCTAGTGGATAGATATAGAGGCGGTGAAGGAGGTGGGCGATGGTGATCGCTGTAGCGGGTTGTGGTGACGATGGGAGTCGAAGTAAATATGGTTGAGAAAGGAAGTAAATGGGAAAATCGAGTAGATCGATCAATATCGAAGCAGTGGAGAGTATTGAAATAAGTTTAGGATACGATTATATTAATAAATCCTATTTAGAGGATTTTATCTTTTAGGTCCTACTTTTTGTATAAAGCCTATATTTTACTCTTATTGCGGTACATTTCTTATTAATTTGCGCGTTATGATGTTTGACTGAAGTTATTTTCAAATTATTTTATATGAAAAATGGTGTAGAATTAAAAAAATATAAGTTATATATTTAAAAACTAAAAAGAATCTACAAATTTAGAGGTGATATGACTATATTATTTTGTCAATTAAAAAACAAAAACATACTAGCAAAGTTAATCAAGTTTGACCATGTAGATAATGAACGAGATGATAAATTTTGGATAGAGGAAATATGATATTTCAAAATTATATTTTTGAAAATATCAAATGATATTATATTCAGATTATTGTTCAAAATATTATTTTTTAAATTTTATGACTAAAATATTTTAATTTTGATTTGAAAAACTCAAATGAAACGTTCCAAAGACTAAGGGGCTGTTTGTTTCAGCCTATTAATGGTTCAAATGTCTGAATGGTTCAAACATTTGCCTCTGAATGGTTAAGTACTCCCTCCGTCCTAAAACTTTCTTCCCAGAACACTATTCCAACTTCACGGGAATTTATATTTATTTGTGTTTTTTCATGGCCTATATGATAAAATAAAATATTCTTGTCACTACTTGTTTTGTTGAACTTTTGATGTAGTTTTTAAATATGTATGTTTTATTTTTTATTTCTATATCAATATTTAAATAAAATAGATTGAAAAAACTTGAGATTTTTCTTCGTTTTGCGCAACGGGAAGAAAGATATAGGACGGATGGAGTATTATACATAGTCTGAATGTTTAAGACCTCTTATCTGAATTGATCAGACATTTGTCTCTAAATAGTTAAGAAATATACTAAGGGGCTGTTTGGCAACTTCTGAATCGGTAAGTGCTGAACCAATAAGAGGTCTGAACCATTAAGTGCTGAACCAGTAAGAGGTCTGAACAATTAAGAGCTAGTATATTGCTTAACTATTCAGAGACAAATGTCTGATCAATTTAGATAAGAGGTCTTAACCATTCAGACTCTGAACCATTAAGAGGCTGAAACAAGCATTTCCTAAGTATGATTTGATTTAAAATTAAAATCACTAATTTTATTTGACTATAATAACGTTTAAAAATAGTAATGATAATTCATATTATAATATAATCAATATTTTTTATATTATTATTATTTTTTATAAACTAAAATTAGTTAATTCATATATTAGAATAATCATTCATATTTTAATGTAATAATATTTTTTATTTTATGATTATTTTTTTGTGAAATAAGAATATTGATTTAGTATTATAATAATTAGTTCATATATACATTGGAATAAAATTAGAATTAGATGACATTGTAAATGTATTTTAAAAACAATTTTTCCAACGTCTAATAGTTAAGGATTACTTTATCAGTTTTCTATTTAACTTATTTCTAAAGTTTATTCTTTTTCATTTTTAATAATAATAATAATAATAATAATAATAATAATAATAATAATAATAATTCTTGAGGGATCTGATCTGATATGGTCTGATCTGATTGGATCTGATCTAATTCGATCTGATCTGATCTGATTTTAATAAAATTAAGAAAAAATAATAAAAAATAAGTTGAACGGAACGAGTTCCTTATACCAGGCCAAGTCAACCAATCGGCATTAATTCAGTACTTAATGGTTCAGATTACTTATTGGTTCAGCACTTAGCTATTCAGAAATTGCCAAACAGTTCCTTGTACCAGGCCAAGTCAACCAATCGGCGTTAATGCGGAACGTACATTACTGTCAAATCTCTATTTTCAAACTAAAACCGGTGGGTCATCATCCGCATCCAGCAGCCAAAGAGAAAAATTAGGCAATCTCTATTTCCCCGCATCGTTTTTTTCTTCATCTTTTCTCCCCCTTCCATCTCTTACGTCCCCTCTTTTTTTTTTCCCTGAAGTTTTCCGATTCCGGGGAGAAACCTTGTACTGTAATAATTTGCGTTTCCCGGGAGAATTTCACATCAATTTCTCTTCCTCGTCCTTTTCCGGGTATACCGCAATTCATATTCTACGCTTTACCTGCCTGGAATTTAGGATTATTTTTACGTTAAATCGTGGCTCTTTTTGGTGTTTTGCAGGAATTTCCATACCAATTGTGTATTGTGATCGAGGATTGGGAAAATTGGCGTATCTGTTGAGGGACATGCGTTGCTTATAATTGAATAGGAAGGGGTGGAGCTATGATCTTCTTAGGCTGATTATATATTTGAGATAACTATTTATAAAAAATAAAAATAAAAAATTCATTGTTTGGGGTGTGGTTGATTGCGCATTACTCCATGGATTCTGAAAACGCGTCCCCAAGGTCAGCTAGTCCGGTCAAATGCTGTGATTGTGGGTGCAGCAGCTGTTCAAAGATGGAGGGATCCTTTTATAGCACGTGGGCCCGNTATCTGTTGAGGGACATGCGTTGCTTATAATTGAATAGGAAGGGGTGGAGCTATGATCTTCTTAGGCTGATTATATATTTGAGATAACTATTTATAAAAAATAAAAATAAAAAATTCATTGTTTGGGGTGTGGTTGATTGCGCATTACTCCATGGATTCTGAAAACGCGTCCCCAAGGTCAGCTAGTCCGGTCAAATGCTGTGATTGTGGGTGCAGCAGCTGTTCAAAGATGGAGGGATCCTTTTATAGCACGTGGGCCCGCAACATGAAACGCAAGTACGATGAGCACGATGTCATCTTACCTCATACGGCACGTATTGACATTGAAAATGAATGTGCCGCCCTCCGTGAGATGGTCAGCAAGCAGCAACAGACAATATTGGATTTGAGCATTGAATTGGAAAAGGAGAGAAATGCGTCCTCGTCCGCAGCTAATGAAGCAATGTCAATGATCCTTAGGCTGCAAAGAGAAAAGGCAGAGATTCAGATGGAATACACACAGTTTAAAAGATTTACTGATGAAAAAATGGTACATGACCAACATGAGATGGATGCCTTGGAGGAATTGTTGTATAAGAGGGAGCAAACCATTCAATCTTTGACCTGCGCGGTGCAAATGTACAAACACAGGATGCTAAGTTTTGGGCTGACAGAATCTGAGGTGGACGGAGGAGAGTGTGACAACAAAGGAAGGGACTTGGGGACTTTGGACGGAGAATTTGAACTTGCTTCATATGATTACCCCCCACTGAAATGCTTGGATGAGAATCAAGTTTGCTCCGAGGTTGAAAACGAGATTGTGGATGTTGAGAAACATGCATTTGGGGAGACCCCTCGATCAAATGACCATCTGCGAGATTTGGAGTGTAGGATTAACCAATTGGAGAGGAGCCCTACAATCAGTCACCCAGATGTCCTTGAAAAGGTGATAGTTGATCAAAAGTCTCCTCACAGGCCTAGACTTGTAAGGAAGTTCTCAACGGGTAGTGAATGGACAGAATTCCCACAACCCTACGAGCATTCAAACTTGAGGAAAGTGGATAGTAATGAATCACAAGTTGACGAAGATGTGATGAGTGACAGAGTTTACACAATTGATTCCATTCATCAGAGTGTATCACACAATGATGTGAAGGCATCTGCGGGAATAGGTGGCGATGATTTCATTACCTCCCCGAGGTATTCCTTGAGTTATACGAATTTGGAAGATCCAGATATCAAGAAGCTGTATATGAGACTCCAAGCACTCGAGGCTGATAGGGAGTCAATGAGACAGTCAATCATTTCATTGAGGACTGATAAAGCACAGCTTGTGTTACTGAAGGAGATAGCACAGCAATTGTGCAAGGACATGTCACCAGCAAGGGGGGCATATGTGAGGAGGCCATCTCCACCTGGAATGCTTTCATTCACCTCAATATCCATGGTATTGTAATTATATTCCATAAGTTCATCTGGAATACTCTGTTTTATATTTTCATTTTTTGCATTCTGATGACTGTTTAATCCAGATATTCAAAATCGGTATTGAGATTTGAAAGGGTAGAAAGAGAGGGAAATGCAGGACTGTTAGATCCCATAATATAAAAGCTGACTTGTTATATGGATTGTTCTGCGTAAAGACTGATCTCATGCACTGCCATTTCACATTAGCCGCGCTATATTAGGATTGTGATACCGATACAGCACTTAGGGTAGGATTTTTCTTGTTTGGCTGCAGCCATGCTCTATCACAACTTAAACCTTTTTATATATAGAATGCTGCATACTTCATGTGTCATCTCTATCCCTTCAAATCTAAAGTGTAGTTTGGCATTAACGAACCGAACTACATTACGTGCATCACATATTATTACTGTCTTATCGAGAAGCTGCATATTCTATGTTTGTTTCTTCTGGAAGATATGCACTAGCGCCCGTTCCCCCTCTTTACCCGGGGCTTTATCTCAATAGCGTGGGAGAGTCCAAGGCTCATGTTGCGGTTAAATCAGGGGGTGGGTATGGGATGCATTGCTCGTTTTGTTTTGACTATCTGCCACTATGGTTTGATGCTATATCCTTACACATCTCAGCTTATTGTTTCTCTATTTTGTTGTTCTGTTCAGTGGATCCGGTCCTTACTTGTATGGAGAAGGAAAGCAAGTAGATGCAAGTCAGTACATCTCCATGTGTCTCTCTCTCTCTCTCTCAATTTATTACTTTTTAATATGCAGAAGGAGTATTTTGTTTA